TCTAGCCACTGCTTAGAAATGGGAATTAAGTGCTGAGTTATGTGCATAAAAGACTATAGAAAGAGAGTGGAAAAGATCCTCAAACTTAATTCATTTCTTCAACTAGAAATAAATATATAGCATTAATTTACGGATTGCAGCCATCCTGTGCTCAGCCCTGGTAAATGATGGCCAGGCTGTAGGCAGCGCCCAGCTAGCTCAAGCTGGAAAATAAGAGGCTGAGTCCAAGTGATTTTCTAGACAATAAAAATTAGCATGGCAAAAACAAGCCTCTTAAATGAGTTGTAATCATTTTGTATGGCAATACATTTTAGTTTTCCCTATCTCTTTATATAGAGCATATTAAAAAGATTAATGTTATTATGAAAATTGTTGCAATAATAAAAAAGAAATAGTGTGCTAGCCTGGGGGCTATCTGCCTCTGCCACGGAGGGATCTAGAGGCAGGTTTTTTTCTTTTGTTCTGCCTCTGGCTCTCATTAGTAGCTAACCCACAGTTCTCAATGGGGTGGTGTGTGGACTTAGATTCACTAACCACACACAGCAAATATTCTTGCCAACGTGGAAAACCCATTTTTGCTACAAGAATTCTTACTTTTACAATCATATCGACCATATGTCCTGCCATTTGGCTTGAATAGAAAAAAAACTTGTTAACACAATAAGAGAGACATACTCCTGGAGGATACGACCATGATTTCCTTGAATTCACAACAGGGTGGACAGGCAGCAAACTGGTTTTCTCAGACTTGAGAGGCATGGGAGGCGGGGTGGATACAGAACTCTGGGTGTTTGCACAGGATCACCCCAGTGGCCTAAGGGGTCGAATAGTAGTTGTCAACTTGCACTGAAATTTTTTTGAACCTATGCCACCAAAAGTTGTAACACAAAAACTATGCTAACACAAAATGTAAAAAATGGCTAGGTAGCAATGATGGAGGAAAAGAACAGAAAACCTGAAGGAAACATCACAAGGTAAAAACCCGACTCATGCAAGGAGGTGGGGGTAGAAGAGACTGCCATGACCATGAACCCAGTCAGAGAAATCAAGACCCTTAGCACCTTATCACAAGGTCCAAGGCCCAAGCATGTATCAGACTGCTGTAGGGAATCTGGGAAGCCCAAACCTGGGGATAAAGATACAGAGATTGGGCCCATTGTGAAATCTCCTGACTCCACATAGTTCTCCAAAATCAGAAGCAAACAGGCCACTCCACACAGAAGTCCTTCCAAAGAGAAAAGGACAGTATCATGGCAGTCTCTGCTCCAGCACGGAGCAGCCTGTCCTCTGCCCACCAGTGCCTATGCAGGTGCTTCTTTCCACCCACTCTGTCCCTCTGTGGGGCAGCAGACTCCTGCCTGCCCTGACCTGTACCCAGCCAGGAATTCTCTGCACTGACCTCCCTTAGTGGAGGCCGCTCTCCTAGGCCACCTGCCTGAGATAGTGCAGGCTTCTCAGCAAACCTGTCCCTTTGGGGCAGCTCTTCCTGCCTGTTTGTGCCTATGCCAGAGTCCTTTACTCCTCTGTCCTTTTCCCTAGTAAGCCTCTTTAAATGTAACTGAGCCTCTGTCTCACTGAGAAACTCAGCTGAGAACTTGCCATGTGTCCCTGAAAGGGGAGCTCTGGTGACCTTTCTCGGAGTGAAACCAAGGACCCTGCACTAACTCTGAAAAAGACATCCTTTGGGCTGGGAAAGCAGAGACATTTTTAGAAATGTGGGTGAAGTAATTATGAATGTGTCTGAGTATGGGAAAAAATGTGTTGGGGGAAAGGATATCCTGAATGAACTCCACACACACAGGTTTTGTGGATTCTACCCCCACCCCAGACTGATGAGATTAAGACACCAGAACTACAAATCCCGTCATCATCAAAGGGAAAATTGCTGGATGGTATCAAACCGTACATGCATTGCTTCGGAGGTTGGGGGTTGTGGGGGCAGGGGATCTTGTCCTCTTGGTTTATAGCTTGACTCTTGGCTTTTTGCCGGCTCAGTGTTGCTACTGGGGTCCGGGTCAGCGGATCTGGTAGGGTGCATTAACCAATTTATCTCCTGCTTTTCCCCTGTGTTATATATCTCCCATCTTTTCTTTTTTTGTAAATCAGTCTTGTATTAACATTTTGTGTGTGTGCCTGCAGTTGAGTCTTATTATATAATAATATCACAAGGGTGAGGCCCCACAATCAGGCAACCCATTTCGTATCAGTTGGAAAAACACCTAAAACCATTTTTTATCTACTTCTGTGTTCCTTACTGTATTGTAGAAAGCTGAGGTTGCCTGACAACACCTATTAGATAAGTGAGATGTCTGGGAAATTGTCTTCAGCAAACAATACTATGTTTTGCTAAAGGGCTTGGGCATATCATCTTTTCATAAAGTATAACTCTTGGGAGATTATGCATTACTATACAGGAGATTTCAAATGTACTAAAAGGAGACTTAATTTTTTTCTGGACATAGTCAAAGTCAATAGTAAATACAATATTTTAATTTCAGTTTTCTAAGGAACTTTTGTTTCTAAATTTGCCAGGTAATGAGGGTTTTGACTGTGTCCACATTTCTGAAACTTCATCTCAAGAGTGTGAATTGAGGTCATGACTACTTGTCACAGCTCTTCTCAGAATGGAGCTTTGACAAAGAACCATGAAAGGAATGTATCATGCCAGGTGATCCGGAAGCTCTGCTCACTGAATTCTGAAAGAAGGACAGGCAATTGTATGCTCACCTTCCAGAGCATTCTTGGACTGATTTAAAGTGAATTCTACTTTCTTGAACAAAGAGGGAGTTCAAGACAGCATTATCAGAAGGTCATGGGCTCCCCTTCTCCCACAGACACCAAATTCACAGCTCTATGTGGAACAATTCTGAGAAGGAGCTAAATAGCAACTCTACAACACAGGACAAATGAGCCACACCAAAAGTGCATAAGATGGGCACAGACATGATCTCCCCAAGAAATTCCAGCCCTAACATGGGAGCTCAAAACAGGGAAGGATCTCACAAAAACAGATTTCTCCCTAACAAGTTAGGGGTTCATGCCCCACAGCGCACTCCAGTCTTTGGGACCTGCACCAGAGGAAAAGGTCCTCCCAACACCTGGCTTTAAAAACCACCAGGGCTTGCAAACAGGAGACTGAGAGGCAGTGGGGGCCGCAGCAGCCAACTTTAATGGACAAACATGCAGACTTACCTGGGGCCCAGAACAAAGATGAAATATGAAAAGCACCAAGTCTTCCATTAAACCTTAAAGCTCTTGCCAGGAGAGAAAGGGTATGGAACTTTCTCCAGGAACTAGCTGGCAACTTTCTGTGCTTTCCTGTAGCCAGAGTGGGGGATGGCTCTCTCTTTTTTTTGCACACTTTTTAGCTAGAGTTGATGGCTCCTCATGCCTTACTGAATCAGCTCCCTGTATGTGCTCTGGTTTACCTGTGCCCCTGTATCGGCATGTCCTGCACCATTGCTGGAGCTCTTGGAGAATGTGGGCAAGGAGACACTGCCTTTGTGTTTAACCTTGATGTTGCTGCACTATGTCTGAACCTCCCAAAGGCACTAGAATCCCAGCTATTGCAACTGTCCCCAATGGGACACGTTCATGTTGCTGGTCTGGAAGCCAGGCGGTTGACAACTGCAACGATGATTTCTGCTGCAGCGGTGGGCACTTTGTAAGGCTTTTACTGAGCAATCTAGACTACAAGAGCCGGATCCTTCATTTGACACTCTATTACTGATACTCAGTTGATACTCTTATCTCCAGCACTCACTTTCAACTCCACTCTATATTCTCACCTTCAACCATGGCCTTCCGATGTGAACTGTGTCATGGCTGTCCTGCCCTGCCTCCCGCTGTCCACTGTCCCCTGACAGAAAGCTACTTCTATGGATGACCCAGCTCACCCTGCCTTCTATGCCCAGGACCAGAGTAGAATTGTTCATCAGTCTGTGACAAAAAGCAAGTTCAAGGAAACATCCTTTCTTACACTTTCTGATTGGGTGCAGGAGGCAAAATTTGCTTTAATTTTTGTGCCTATTCCTTCACATTAAAAACAACAAAGACAGTTTGAAGGGTGTGAGGGTTGAGAGTGTTCTCTGCTGTGAAATTCAGGACCTGGCGCTCTGTTACTTATTAATGGCAGTCTGTTACTTATTAATGACAGACATCCTGATTCAGAATGTTCTATTTATGCACTTTCTCATTTCCTGTATCTCACACCCTCTCGTGTTGGAGTCTTTTCCTGCAGAAAACTACAGTGACACTACTGGATAATCCAGTATTTCTGTGGTTTATCTTCTTCAACATTGTGAAGCTTACAGATCTGACATGTTCACGATGCATGTCCCTAGTCTCTATGCAGTCTCTATTTCACTTCTTCACCAATGACCTATCTTGTGTGAGCCACTTTCCACTGTGGAGACAAAGTTAACAAAGAATAGAGAGAAGTGTGCTTATGGGGAGCATAGCCCAGATTTGGGGGACAGAACTCCACAGTGGGAATTAAACTTTGGAAAGAATGTGCTGATGACAGTTCACCCTATAGCATACAAGGGGCCATGGAGTCAAGGTTATTTCTGTGGTTTTGTTGCTCTGAGATAAAATGGGATTTTAGACAATAAAGCACCCCCTGTTACAAGCCAGGGCACAGGTGTGAGGCTAATGCAGCAGTGCAGGGTGGGGCTGGGAGCAGTGTGCCAGGGAGGCAGGTAACAGAGATGGTGAGGAGGTTACTGAGCATGTTCCCCAAGGTGGGGGGGGGGGTTTGACTGGGTAGCTCATCAGTAGGACACTGATTATCACCAACACCTGGAAATAAGACTCAGTAGGCAGGTCACTGAGCATTAATGTTCATGCAGGTTCTAATTTTCTTTTCCAAAATTCTTAGTTGCCCCCTAGGTATATCACTTAACTATTACACTTACTATTTCTCTAAAGGAATACGTACATAGTATCTACATGGAGGAAAACTTTTCTTGATATATTAAAGCATAAGCTTGCAACCAGCTATGATTTTTTTATTTATATCACCTTATAAATTCAAAAAGTCTCTGATCAGTTTGACAGAATCTGTTCATTTTTGCCTCTATATTCATGATCTGTGGTTTATTACTTATATCGGTGTATCACAATACATTTCAAAATAAAATGTCTTAACCTTTTTTTTTATAGCTCATATGTTCATTATTTGTTCAACTCCAGAAAAATACTTACAAATACTTTAGATGCCTGATGTGATACTCTTGTAAGAGGATAGAAACATTATTGTAGAAGAATACTAGAGTAATTCACTCAACTGCATTATTCCCCTTTATTGTAGCAACTCTTGGTTATTTAGTATAAAGAGAAATCAAAAGAAAAGATATCTACAACCTTGGGTTAAGAGTACGCTGGGAATTGGTGAACTAAGCCTTATATACAGGATATAAACATATTTATACTTTATATATGTACACTGTTAGTGTTACCTATTCATTATAAATAGTAGTTTTAACTTAGACTCTACAAAAATAAGGATTTTGGATAGGCACATGCAAGCCAGTACACACAAACTTATTTATAAAACACATCTTTATGCTTTTTTGCTTGTAAATATAAATGTTGCTATTGAGCCACAGCTAAGTGATTTAAGTAAACCCCAAAGTACCCAATTAAAAGTATAAAATCTGCTTCTATCCACAGCAGCATTCAAATATTTTTTTCACCTATAAGTCTAGATAACTTCGTCGAATATCAATTATAGGAACCTATTGCATTTCTTCAGATATCCGACAGTCCTCCAGAGTAAAAGCTTCCTGTTTTTAATATGCAAACAATAGATATTTGTTAAAAACACCACTCTGGCTTTTACATTCTCATAAAAATGAACAAAATGAAGCCTGTTGCTCCCTGCCCCAGGGCTCTAGGGCGATGCAGCGAAGCCCTAATCTTAATGGTTCGCGGAGCCATCGGAACAGTCCGGGGACTGAGCGTCCACGAAAGGCTCGTTCTGCTTCTGCTCCTCCTTCATGCCGGCCGCCTGGTCCGTGATGGAGGAGAAGGACAGCTGGTCGTGCTCCATGATGTGCACCTGGTCCTCATCCTTATCCTTCTTCACATAGAACATTTTTCTGAATTTCTTCAGCTCATGGAGTTCACAGAAGGTCTCCAGAACTACCAACATGGCAATAAGGCCAAGTAGCAGGTAACCTGTGTGGGAAAATGACAGTGTCTCATGCAGTGTGTCACAGCGGAGGGTGTGTGGACCTTCATGGCCACTTTCCTAACTTTTTGGAATGTTTTGGCTTCTAAGTGTCGCAAAGTACTCACTCAAAAAAAAAAAAAAAAAATGAAGGATGACCTGACCATGCACCAACTTAGGTTATCCAGAATCTGATGGTGCATTTCTTGAGAGAAAAAAAACCAAAAACAAAAACAGAAAGCTGGGGCTGATGCAAGGAGAGCAGACATACCATACACATTAAGAGTCCCCTTGAAGGAAGGGGCCCTTCACCCCCACTTCATAATCAATGCCTCTCAAAATGCCAGCGATATTTTAGGCCAGTTCTGGCATATCATGAGGGACTAGAATGAAGTGAGGCACCTTCTTAGCACTCATTACACTCACCATTATTTGCCCTAAACAAATACATGTTTAGCATCAGAAATTACAGTTTAATCTAGAAGAACATTTCTTTAAAAAATGTAGATATTAATAAGGACATCACCAAACATTTGATCGATGACACTTAGAAGAAACAAAACAAATAACCCCAATAAAACAAAACAGTACGGCAAAAGATAGAATTAATTTTAGTGGTGAACAGAAAGCAGTACAGACAGATGTTGATTTATAATGGTGTGGCCTCTAAACCTATATAATGTTATAAATCAATGTTATGTCAGTAACTTTTTTACAAGGGCTATTTATAATTTTTGAGATGAAGCCACAAATTAAGTTTTCCCCTACATAACAGTCACTTAGGAAATAGGAGCAAGAACCATTTTTTTGAATACCTCTAGCAGCTTCTTTCCCCAAAATAGAAATAAGCTCTTGGTTCCAGCAAAGTGTCATCCCTTAGAGTCTATGATGAAAAAAAAATAGTGATTTTAAGTCATGTCTGCTATATCTAAGTGCTTTCAGGGGGAAATAAATCAGCATGGAAAAGAACAGAAAAGTGAAAGTAAAAACTCTAATAGCAAAATCTCAACTTGATGTCACCACTGTAAAATGTTTGAAAAGGATCTCCAGAAAATGATGAATTAGGGAAACTAGAATCCCTAACATAGTAGGAATAAGGGGCTGATTATCTCAGGAATGTAAAGTGCCACAGTATTCTCTTTACAATTTGGGTATTAGGTTTTGATATTAATATAGCATATTTTGGAAATAGCAATGATATTGTGAGACTGACAAATCCCCTCCTTTATCCATTACTAAGTCAAGCATTACGTATTGACAAAAATACCTAAGACTTTAGGTAAAAGCTATGGGACTTTATCCTGTCCTCGATGTAACAAATATATGTTTGGGACATTCATTTGTTTCATTCAGCACATGTAATATATAACTTGCCTTACAAACCCATGATTTCTGTAACAAATGTTAAAATTTTCTGCAAGGATCTAATATAGTATGAAAAACTGAAGGATAAAGCATAGGGCAAAATTTATGAAAAGACAACACAAGAGAAAAGTGGAACCAGCAGCCATAATTATAGAAAGGTAGTCCATGTTCTAAGTCACAAAAACATTAGTGGTAACATTTTACCTAATACAAGAAATGAAAGTCAAGATAATATTTACTTTTCTACTAAACATGCAAAAAACACCTCTATGTTGCTACTGGTCCACACCAGCCCACGAGTGCTGCACCTGTCATGCTCAGGTAATTCTGGTGAAAGTGTAAACCCTAACACTACTCAGGGAGCACTGAGCCAACATGTTCTGTGAGTTGCAAAGAGGTATGTTCACTTTGGATGAGCTAGTCTACTTTTTCTAAAGCTATCAAAGTAGGAAAAATGTAAACGCACAAAAATATTTACTGCAGTCTTTTGGTATAAAACCATCAATTTGAAAGCAATCTAAAAATTCAGCAATAGAGGCATGGTTAGATTATGGTAGAGATACTAGGTAGAATAATAAATATAAAAAATATTATGGTAACTAGAGGAAATAGGAAATCATCCTTGCAACCACTTCGTAAAATTTACTGAACTTGTATTATAGCAGTCATTCGCTGTTCAAAATATATCTTGAGTGGGCTCATAGCTTAATAGAAGTATTTAAGTACATACAGTTCCACTAATAAGCAGTTTGTAAGGTTAAGACTACAAGAAAGGGCCAGACAGACTGTCTGCCTGAATATCCATCTACTATGATTTTTCAGAAGGCATGCCACAGTTGGACCTTAAAGATGTCTGAGAAAACTATTATATTATTTTTAAAAAAAGATAATTAAATAAATAAGTAGTTTATCTAAAAAAAAAATGCTTGAGAAGGCAGAAATAAAAACTGGATGAATCAATACCAATGACACAAGCTTCTGAGTCTTGAAAAGATACATTAAGAAATAAATTTTCTTGAAAATACATTACTAAGTTTTCTATGATATCATACCAAATGTTTAAATAATATTTAAAAGTGATAAATCTATGGTCCTATAATGTCTGTTGTCCACATATAAAATTCTAAAGTTAACATATACAACTTTTTGAGAAAAAAACTACATGGATAAATGAGATAGGCAAGTAAGATCAGCCATAGCTGTAAGATTTTCTTGGTAAATTAAAGAACATGATTGATAGTAAGAGGCTACACCTGAGTCCTTGTTTACTTGAATTTAAAATATTTAATAATAAAGCAGAGCAACTGTTGTTAAAGTGAAAGCTGGTTTTCAAATATATTCTGTATATTTATACTTTAGAACGCCTCTATTACTAGAAAGAAATTGGGCAGTAATTTTGAGATGGCTGGGGGAGAAAAGTCTATAATAAGATTGATATTCAGGATTTTGAAGGAAGCCATGATTAAATGAAATAACTATGAGAAGAGCAAACTGAAAGCTTAATCAGGATAAAAGCCATCAGGGCTTCACGAGTCGCCACGCCCGTGAGACTGACAACACATCACCCAAAGGCGCAGTCTGACCGCCATACTCACATGTGATCCCGATCTTATAGAGCTCTCTGAATTTCTGATTGTAGCCTTCTCCAGGAACATAATCCCCCAGACCGATGGTGCTCAGGGAAATGAAGCAAAAATAAAATGATTCCAGGAAGTTCCAGTCTTCCTCCAGGACAGAGAACACGGCCGCCGGGATGAAGAAGAAGCAGGACACAGTGACAAACCCGAGGAGGACAGCGTGGACAATGGCGACCACCTGCTTGGAGAAGCCCCAGCGAAGGTGGAAGTAGAGGACAGGCCTGCGGGTGACGTGGATGGTGACACGCTGGACCACAGCTGTCAGGAACAGGAGGGTGAAGGGGATGCCGATGACTGAGTAGATGATGCAGAAGGCCTTACCGCCGTCGGACAAGGGCACAGTGTGGCCATAGCCTGCGAGGTAAGGAGGCAAGATGGTGAAGAGAAAGGAGTAGAAACATTTTTAAGCAACGTATGTCTGCTGTCTACAACTATTTAACAGCAGAGCCGGTCTTGAGGTCTGAGCCCTCAAAGGCGCTCATAGAAGTACCAGGGAAATAAAAGTTAAGGGCCGATGTCATGCAGCTGGTAAGTCCTACTCTTTATAAAGTCCTACCGGCGCCTTCCTAAATTATAAAAAAGATCACATTGACTTTAATAATTTTAAATAATTATTTGTACATATAGATAGAGCTTCTAACAGAAAAGAAAAACTGAAATATCATAATTTTAAAATACAAATGTTCATAAACATTAAGTATGAATTAATAAGAGGTGATTAAACTGAAAAAAAATATGTTGCTTGATTATCTGATTAAATGACACATTAGAAAGTGTAATTTTCACCCTTTACCATTTCTCTAGGTTCCAGGATACCTAGCTAAGTTCCACCAAAAAAAAAAAGAGAAAGAACAAACATGACAAAGTACGAGAGCCCATGGTTTATTTTCCACTAGGTTTCAGTGATTCCCAAATGCAGCCAGCTCAAGAGGCTCTTCACCAACACAGGTCAGCAAGAGCCGAGCCAAGCATGAGCCTTGACACACTGTTCTAAAATCTCAATTTTATCCTGAGACTAACATGTCTGAACAAGTTAATTTGCAAAAAGCCAATGAAGTATTTTTTTATGAAATCAGATCCTGCGAAAAACTTCACATAGGCGATTATAATGGAAAAGCATTTAAAACATCTGATTTCTAAAATATATCCTGCTTAAAAGTAAGTAACTCTGAACAAGCTCCACGCCAGATCCCTCCAGGCTCTGCTTTGTACTTGTTCCCAGGAAGGGCTCAGATACACGTGGTCACTAAAGAGCCTGGAAAAATAATTATTTAAAATTATTAAAGTCACTGTGATTTTTTTTTATAATGTAGGATGTGAAACCCAAGCAATTCAGAAAAGTCTAATATATCAGTGTATTATTTGAATTTTAGCTTTGAAACTAATGATTATTATTATGACTTAAAAATATAGCAGTTACCAGATAATATTTACAGGTATTGCTATAAATTTAACATAAATTAATTGGCCTAGTGAGACTATGGTAATGATTTTCCTAAAAGTCAAGAAGAAAAATCTAGTATATACCGTGCTGAGCAAATGCTCAAAAGCTCAGCTGATCAGACCAAAATTATTTATTTATGGTTTTCTATATTTGTTTTTTTCCTAGAAAATCTTATGTAGACTACATTACATAGAGAAAGAAATACATAAAATGTTGGGCTTCTAACAAAGAGGCACAATGCAGGACTCCCTTGATTTCCTTTATAGCACCTGCCACTAATAGACATTGGATTAATACATATTGAGGGAATGAATATTTTCATGAATTAATAACAGAACATGTTAAAAGATTTGCTCAGTCCTGGTGTGCTTTAACTGCTTCCGCTTCTCCAATACCTTCATCTTAACGGTTGCATGACATCCGCCCTTAACTTTTATTGCCATCGTACTTCTATGAGCACCTTTGAGGGATCAGACCTCAAGACTGGCTCTGCTGTTAAATAGGTGTAAAGTCCTCCCAGCCACGCACAGCTGCAGTGCAGCCTCAGCACATCAGCCAGGGGTTCCCTGGGCTACAGGGAGCACCTGGGACCCGCTGAAATTGTATGTGACTGTATAGCCACACACATATGCATTTTTCTGTGGTGAGACCCCAAAGCTTAGACTCTAGAAAAGATTAAGAACCATTGCTCTGTTGTTCTGAAACTCCAGTTCTGAGACCATTTAGTCATTTCACTCCAGCTACTCCTGGAGTGTGTGAGTAGGAGTAACCAGAGCAGGAAAGATGGAGAAAAGTGTGCCCAGTCACACTCGTGCAACAAAGAAGGCAGGAGAAGTCAGATGTTCATTGTTGAAAAACTAGAGAGACAGGAGCTTGTTGAGTAAAATGGCCCACCTCACAGAAGGCTGGTTCCAATCACAGTTGCAATATAGGCTAGGCTTTAAGGAGAAAATTCTAATGGGCAAAATATCTGGAAATAGAACCTGAAACTGGAGTTTTATTTAGCCATAAGAAAGTCAATTAGAGGGCCCTCCCTGGTGGTGCAAGGGGTTAGGACACACCATTGGAAGTGAGCCGCAGCCACTTCAGTGCGAGTTGATCCCCGCCCCAGAGGTGACCCACATGGCGCGGCAGACCTCTCCTGTCACGCCTGCTGCTCCCCTCAGCAGTGTGCTTCGTTGATCTGCCAGTTCTGCTCCCCGCTCTGTCTCTGGTGAATCCTATCACCCTCCATATCTCTGGCCTGTACCCCAGTTCTGTATGAATAAATAAATAAATCTTTAAAAAAATGTGATTCACAAAGTTGGTTGTGAATTTGCAGCTAAAAGTACTAGCAGACAAAAGTGTTTTCAAGCAGAGTTGGCAAAGGAGAGATTTAAAACTTTGGCAAGGCTCTGTGGAGGAAATAGATGATTAGGGGATTCAATTAGACTAGATAAAAGCCTTTAAAGTCCATGATTTTATTATGTTTTCATAGCATTTTTATAAACTATCTTTACTAAAAGAGGAACAGCTCTTTCGCACAGGCCACTTCTTCTGTACCATCTGTTCCAACAAATTATATAAATTTGGTTTCAGTAGAGGGAAAAGGAAATTTCTAGTTTTAAAATATTTAGGGTCTAATTTACTCTCAAATGATGATAGTTCTTTTTATTAAAATGTTAACTAAAACTCCATTTACTAAAATGTTTTCTCTAACCGACAGAGATAATCATCATTACAAGACTCACGGAGTTCTTGCATTTTTATGTCAATTATATGTTCCTAAGAGATTAAAAATCACCATGTGTAGATGCTTGCTGAAAGTCAGCTTCTTTCACTGGTGTGTACATAAACAATTTTTGTTAAAGGAAAGTAAAATGTAAAATTCACATCTCATTTTTCGTCTGCACACTTTTGGTGCAAGCCTTACTGGGAAAAACACAACAGTTCTTTTGCAAAAGACACTTTAATGCACCCAGCAGAAACCTTCAGTCCTACTGAATTTTAATGAAGTGGTGAATAATTTATTCAAGCTTGGTCAGTTGAACCCCCAGGTAAATCATAGAGCAAAGCTCATTTTAAATCTTATAATCACATTAAATCCACTACAACTATGGAAGAATTCAGCAAAATGCTAATAAACCTTATATAATTGGTGCCCTTCAAATATTCCTAAGGCTCTTTCTATAATTTGGTGACCCAAGAGATTGAACATAAAGTTTTCTGAAAAAACTGATTTAAAAAATTTAGGCTCCTGAGATGGAAGTCCCATCTACAGATTTTCCAGCCTCCAGTGCCATAGATGCTTGCTAAAGGGGCTGAGCATACCTGTAGGGTGCACAGGTGTGTCTGTGTAATGGGGGGGGGTGGTTCTTACTGTGCCAGTCTGAGAGGTCTGGCACAGTTTCAATTTGGCTACTGGGACTATAGCAGCCTTGACAAGGTGCTCAGTAACGTCTCACTAGGGGTACCAAACTGGACATGGCCCTGGGTTCTTCCAATAGTCATGTCCTCCTGAATGAAGTCCAAGAGAATCTGTGTGGGCTCCTATTTAGTAGAGACAGCCACTGAGACACAACTCCTCACCTCCCAGATATTTTAGAGAGTACCGCTTACCAGAACCTCTTATTGTAACCTGAACTACAAATAGTCTCATTCATTAATATTACTTAGAATGATATGGTCCATTAGGTTACATTTTCCACTAAGTTTACTTAATACATTTTTTTTAAGATTTATTTATTTATGCATACAGACCCCATGTGCGTCACTTCCGGGGCTGCAGAGAGAACTTGTGCTGAAGTGGCTTTAGCTTCTCAGTGCTGTGTTTACCCACTGCGCCACCAGGGAGGGCCCAATACATTTTTTTTTTTTTTAAAGCTACCAAAAAATATTCTTCACTTGTTTGAAATCAACCTAAGTAAAGATACTGAAATGAATCCCACTGTTTCCTCTTTTGTAAACTGACTTAAGTTTGCAGCCTCGACTTTATTCACTATTTCTTTCACCAGACTGTAAGTCCCTTAGGAGGGATATATGTCCTTCTCAGCTACAACTCCTAAGCTCTTTGGCCACACTGCTAATCAGTTAACACTGGGGCTCAGTGACTGCAAATTTGGTGAGAGTTGTACCAGAAACTCACACTGTGGCACTGACAGGCATTAGATCAAGTTGACAATGCCACTCTAACCTTATCTTTTATTTGAAATAAGATTTCATTCCACAGCTTCAATAAAAGGTTAATTTCTAGATACTGGCAGTGACAGGTACTCATAATTCCCTTTGTCACAGTAACACTTTTTAAATACCTGCAGATGGACAAACTGTTCATCTTCATGTTATCTACATGTTAGGGAATGGACAGCTTCTGTGACTTTGCTTATAAAAGGAATCTGTTTATCGGTGGTGGTGGTGGTGGGGGATCTCAAGGGAGGCCTAAACTAGATCACATAAAACTCTGAAAGACTGAAAGTGGGCCAAGTCCAGTATATGTGACAGAGCAGGCACAGCTGGCCAGGGGTGACAGAGGTAGATAAGTCATGGGAGGTGCAAGTAGTCCATGCAAAAGAAGTCACCTTTATTTAATGACTTCTGT